GTCAGGTGGCGTGGTAAAAGAAACATTTAGGACTTGCAGCTTTTATTCACATTTTTTTGTAATCCTCACATTTTCTTGCATGTCGACGAAGACTACTGACAACCCACTGCGGGCTCATGAGTAGTTTCACGTGAAAAGTATTCCAACCGTAATGTGAAACTGCCTTTGTTAGAAAATATTTTAGAAAATATATCAACTTAAATTTTACTTATGCTTCCGGCCAACACCAGTTTAATCAGCAGACAGTTGCTGATCTCCAAAATATATACATTTTTGTTTATGTTCATGCAGTGAATTCATTGTATGTTGTTTGCACTTCAGTCCAGGGCCCACATGGACTTTTTTATACTGGCTTGTTGTGTCTCAGGTCAAGCGAATAGAACCATTGACAAGTCTCCTGTTTCAAGTAACCCGATTAGATGTGACAGTCAGTGCTAATCTCTAGGATAAAAGTGGTTAGCTATGTTTTGTGAAACCATTGGTCTTGGTCTACCGGATTGCTTTGCTTGATTTGACATCATTCATCATGTCAAATATGATTCCTGTGGCTAATCTGTTGTCAAATTAGTCACAACTGAGCGGACGTACAAAAGAGATAATTCTCATCAACACCCCTTGTGAGCCGCAGTCTCTCATATCGAATTTTTCACCTATTATGGTAGATTCGGCTAAGTTACGTCGGGTTTATTAGAGCTATCTTGTTTCCCTTCGTCTCTTTTTTCTACATATGTTGTATCTTGTTTCAACCAGTCAACTACATTACACACTGCTATGTTATCAGTCTCATTAGACCCTATCAGATTAAGACATCCTCAAAAATTGCTGAAGCCGAAATGTCTGTTTTCCTCCTTAGCACAGGCAGTTTGACTGTTAATGGAAGTTCGCCCAAAGTGATTGAATTATCAATGGTTTTCCTCAAAGAACTGATAGGCTTTATGCCATACTGTTGGTACTCAGTCGATCGAGACTTATAAACTTATCTTTGGCTCCTCCAAAGAGTCCAATAATGTGTATTTTCTTTCGGCTGTTTAAGCCAGCCGCAATAATTAATGGAAAGTAGAACGTGGCAAAAACATTTGATATCTCTCATAGGATTATTATGAAGTCATATAAAAATGTACCACAACCATATGTGCTGCCTGATATGTGGAAAGATCTGCAAATGTAGATAGAATATGAGTAGGATGGACTTATGGAGTAACTTTCATTGCGTCAACGCTGATTGTCCGGGTGTACGTGGGACAATCATTGGCCACCGCATGTTCCAAATGTCTTATCAGAAATTTCTCTAAAATAGACACGTTGCTTTCATAACCGGATATCCATTGCACCCAAAATCTAACTGCCTCTGATCGCTTTGAGACCTTCCGGTGGACGGTACATAGGAAAGTTATTCAAGGGGATTTATGTTGGCCGATGATAATACGGTAACATCTGGGTTTATATCCATCCATTTGGAGCCAAGTTTAAAGGTTACGTTTTGGTGTCTTTTGTAGAACAAGTGCTTCATGACACCACAATATACGATACTTGACAAGGACACACAAAAGACTGCACCCACAACCTTTCAACCTTCTGCTTTTCTAATGTTGGCAGGGGTGGAAATGAAACCCAAGCGTTAATCAACCACTTTATCCGTAGGATCATCAATACTTTCCAACCTCCTGGAGATGGAAAAAACTCTTTTTAACGAAAGTTACAAATAGATTTGTTTCCTTTTTAAGGAAAGTTTCTGACGTATTCCTGTATTCCTTGTAAATAGCCACCCAAAGTTAGCACCTGTTCCATTAATTTTAATTCATGTGCTATGCATCCATCGCAACTTAACATTGTATCCCTTTCACTTGCATATTGGTCTGTTTGAGTGAGCTGTGAAAACAAGTGTATTATCTTGTCGTTGAGTTCTTCTTGTACAATCGGTTTTGAACACGCCAGCCCGTCTTCTTTTATCTATCGAAATTCAAAAAACCTATTTTGCCGCTGTACTAAAGTTCAAGGGTAAAGTGAATAGTAGAAGGATGTAAACAGAAGGATTGAAAGACACGGGTAGAACGGATATTGGTATTACCTTCGGCGATAAAACGTCCCGTAAGTTTTAGATTTGTTAACCCGACCACTAAATCTGTTTGTGGAGATACTTCCTTGTATCGAATAACATCTCTAATTCTTGATTTCACTTAAGCCCAGTGTTTAGTGTACTCTAAAAAAATAAAGACAGCGGTCAGTTGCCTTCCTCTGATGCCATTTCTTATAACAGCGATTGATTTTCTAGGCCGAATATTTCCGACTCATGAATATCTCAATTAGATACCTTCCAAATAAAGGAGGCATGGTAACATTATGCAATTCTTCCATTCGATATTTTTCTGATAAATTCAACTCGACATCAACATTTCAGAAAATCGTTGATTTTTTGTTGTAAAAGCTCAGCTTCGGTGTTCGTTTTATGCCCTTCTGGTCACAAATACTACATGCTATCCAAATGTGCCTAGGAAGCTATAGGCTTTCATGTAAACTGAGTAGCCGAATGAAAAACTTTCTTCCTGCCAACCACGAGTTCATCAAATGAATGTCTTTTTTGATGGACCTCGTGCTTCATTCTAAAAAGGAAATGTCTAGGAATAAACAACAGCTTTTTTCAAAATGTTTCCACTAGTATTCTGTTTGTTTTTTTGTAGACAGCCTATCAGCAGAATGCGTGTGAATAATCCAGGTGTATAGTGGTAAAAAAATCCGCAAAATTTTATTCCCACGATTTCTTATTTTCAGGTATGTTTTTCAAATAATGTTTTCAGCCCTGAAAAATTGCAAATGACTAATTCGCTGCATGAGAAATCGGTCGCGATTTTTCCGGTAGATATACAAAACTTGAAATAACTCGGACTGTCGGTCACGCATCCTTCTAAATTAGTGATATTTTGCAGAAAGTGGTTAATAAAACTCAAATTTTATTGCAAAAAATTTTCAACACCTTTTACGGTCGTTCGTAAGTTCCATATATTGCGCAATAAACTAAAGCAATTATTGGAACACACTTCGACAGCGCAGCTAGGTTTGCTTGATGTACTGCTGAATCAATAAGTATTGGACGACAGTTGGATAAACAATAAGAAGATAGCAAAACGTAGACGTAAAATGGTGATAAAGCACTGTGGTAAAGTGTGATTGATGCTCGTCGTTTGGGACCATGGGCAAACAATTCATTCGATCATAGATATGTCATGCATTTTGAAAAGACAAATGGTTAGTTTAAAAGCGACTTGTGTCCTTCAGAGTTTTATGTTTATATGTCTCCTCTCAAGAATCATGTTACGAAACTCCCGTTTTCCATCTGTGGGATACAGCAGGTCGGAGGGAGAGTTTTCTCAAACGGACGCATTTGGCTGCTTTTCTTTTCATTTCAGTAGGTGGACCAAAGCTAATCTTCCCCAAAACAATTGTGCGATGCTGAGTTTAATTTTGATGTATCCCTATGGGAAAGATGTACCTATTGCGTTGCAGGTAGAACACAGTAACTAGCGGAGTGAATTAGAGTGACCAGAAATAGGAGTTATCTTTGCTGAAATTAAGTATCTCTACCAAATATAATCAGTTTCGGCCTAACTATATTAAATCCTATATATCCTACTGCGGAATAGAGTGTAGAAAACTAATTCATCCTGAAACGTTTTGTTCCTAGAGCCTTGTTCGTACTGATTTGGGGATCACAATGCTACGCTTCGTCTTTCCATTTGCATCGTCTATCCGCGCTTCTATTCAGCCTTCACTTAGCTACAGCTGTCTTTCTTCAACGTAGCATAGGAAAAGGAAAGATTTTGCTACTCCAAAGTATAATCTTTCTAAAGCTCTAACGTCACCTCACGCTGCGCATTTTAATTAAATAAAACAGTGGATAATTTGCATACAATCAGATCGAACGATTAATCCACTGCATTGAGACAGTTAATCACAAATGCAAGTGAACTGGAAAACAACTTTTGCTCTTCAATTTTTTCATGCGGGTCAATCTGTAGAGCCCTTGAGTAATGCATTCCCAAATCAAGAACAGTTGATAAATGTTCCTTCAGCATATCAGTGGAATCTTTGGCAGTTATTGCAGCACCTATCATCATCATCATCATCATCATCGACAGCACTCTGGTAACCCGACCGGGACGCACTTCGGGTGGCCACATGAGGTCGATTGCACACTGACAACGGATAATCTATTCAATCTGATAGACAGCTTTGTTTAATGACGCCGAAGATTGTTCCGCTTTGGATACGCATAGGGAGATAGGTTCACGCTCCCTCACTACTGATGCACTTTTGTCTTTTGAAAGTGAACGCCAAGTATAGAAACTTAAGCTCTGTGCCCATCATGACCTAAAACTATTCACTTGGTCTGAGACCTCTGGTTCTATGGTCAGGTCACAGATGAGCCGAAATAATTTCTGGATTCGCATTTGGAGGACAGAAAACGTCTCACATATCCTTGTTTTAACTTTGTGAGAGAATGTGACTAGTAGTTTTTCCTTTCTTTTTAAATCAAATTGATGGCTTTACTTGGGCTGGTGGCCAAAGAGTGAACGCGTCCTACAGTAGATCCCACTAAGTCCGAAACACACAGAAATAAAGTCGGAGCTTTAAATCTACCTTGGAGAAGTATGTAAACACACTCTTATAAGTGACGTTTGATGTAATCACCAGTGCTTGCAATGTCGATGATGCTGTTCTAGACCGCCAACACTGTAGTGCCTTCTACTACCAATTTATGTATGTTTGCATTTCATCGCTGTTGAAATATCAGTAGATCCCACATGAAGATCCGCAGATCACTTGCTTGGAAATCTCATTGCTAAAGTCCACAAAACTTATGTAAACTAGAGGGGAGCTTCTACTATCCGTAAACAACTCTTCTCGAGAGGCGTTACTACTACTTATCATTTATTTTTGAAGAGCATGGTCACAAACATAAAAAGTGAGTGCAAGAGATGAATGCGAAAGAGTAACAGGAGAATATGGGAGAAAAGAGAGAAACGTCTCATTCGAGATCATGCCAAGGGCAGTGCCAGTCTGATGAGGTGAATCCCAAAGTATGTAAAGATTTTGGTATGGGAAAATGCGTCTAAAGACCAACAACCAAAGAGAGGACAAACAACGGTGAATGCTCTTCAAGGCGAAGTGTGCGCTAGCACAGTCAAGACTTGCACATCAGGCAACAAAGTGTCCGTCATACTGGGTCTGGTGTGAGATTAAATGGCAAAAATGTACCTTCAACGCCATGTGCCACGCATAAAAGTGTCATAAGTACGCAGGGAGCCCACAATGGCAAGCAAACACAAGTCACTGACTGCGACCTTAGGAAGTCCCAGTCCAATAACAGCCTTAGCGGA